AGAGCCTTAAGGTTATTTTTTATGGAACACCAACTTCTTCTTTCTTTTTTGTGACGTAATACAGAACAATGTGGAAGGAAAATCTTTTAGTTCATCACAAGTCATTTAAGGCTTTTTTTTCTCTCCACCTCTTCAATTTTGCTTGCGCAGTTAGTGAAAGTTAAGGTGAATTGTATTCTATAAGACATTCTCATGTTATTTAAGGGTAATGTTTTGTCAGATTGTAGCATCGTAGAATAGGGGTGGATTTTAAACACTGTACTTGAGATGCATTTCCTTGTCTGTCAAGACCAGTCTGTGTCTGGTCTAGATGCATTCTCTGCAAGTTTAACATGCATATTTTTGTACTCTCATCTGTGAACTGCTCTGTAAACTTACTCAATGACTCAATTCTTATTCACATGTAAACAATTTTTTTTTCATTTCTGTGACATGCCCTGTATTTTGCATATCATAAACAAGAATTTAATTGTAATGATAATTGATAAGTGTTAAGCTTTCTGTTTGACCTTCCAGGTGCTAGACAATACAATAAACAAAGTAGCAGAAGAAGTTCTTTCTCCAGAGGAACTTAAAGAAAGGCAGCTAAAAATTCAGGTGATTTGAAACAAAAACCTTCAACTTTTGCTTTTGCAGTTAAGTTTTGTATTAGATCTTTTAATTAACAAATTCTGGTGAACTGAATATATTTTTCTCATAGCATTTTCTCCTCTTTCTAACAAAATTAGAACAAATAGTTAACAATATATTTCACCTCAGTGGAGGTGAATAATGGTGGAATTATTTACCTTGTCACTCTGTGGCCCCATTAATATCCACCAGTATTCACCAACACTGAAGTGAATATATTTTTTCAGAAACCAAAAAGAGTAGTTTATTTCTGTCAATATTATAATGAAAAAGGGTTAAAAGTTGATTTTGTCTTTTTGCCTGCTTGGCAGTGAATATTACTTGCTGATCACTTCTCAGTGAATGAATCAACGCACATGAAATGCACTATTCACCTGTGTGGTATTTTCAGACAAGTGATATTTGTGAATGTAAGATTCTTTGTGAACTTTGTGACCTCTGTGTACCAGTATTACTTTTTTTATGTCATTTCACTTTGGTTTATAGGAGATGGGCAAAGAAGCCAAAAAGAAAAATGAGAAGAAAGTTGTGCCTGTTTCATCAACCAGGTCAGGGCTGGTTGTTTTCTTGTTTTTTTTTTTTGTTAAGGAAACTTTTTGACTAAACATAAAGAATATATGATATATTTCTTCGTTTCACCCCTGAACTCCCAGATCAAGTTTGTAATTCTCCTTACTGTCAACCATACAATACTTATAATGTAAGTTCTGAGAATTTAGTATTAGATCAACTAATTATCCCCAAATTGATATTTTGCTTTATTCTCATCACTTTCTAATTGATATTGTATTGATAATTTTGGTGTCAATTTAGTGATAGTGAAAGTGAAGATGATGAAAGTGAATCTGTGCAAGAAAGTAATGACAGTGACGATTACTCAGAAGAGGTAATGTTGATTAAAGTTATTTTTGTCATCATGTTTTTTGATACTCTTTCAAAACAGTTCCAAGGTTCTCCCTCCCATCTTCTCTTGGCCCCAGTCTATGCAAGTCGGTAGACCAAGAGGGACTGTGCTCCATCTTGGGTGGGGAGGAGGGCCAAAATATCTCAGCAAGGGTATGGAGAGCTAAACGTTACTGGAATTGTTACGCAAGCCGCCTGCTGATTGTAAGAGATTAAAAGTCTTTGTGAACGCGCGCTGAGTTCTTTGTTTTGTCTCACTGAGAAAATGACGTGCTTTATAGTTGTTGATTTAGGGTACTGCGCATTTTCTTATGTGAAAAGATGATCTATTTCGTACATTTTGCCAGCAATCTGTTTGATCCCGGGGTAACGTTTGATCGTGTAATATGATCATCCGGGAGAGGGTATTCCTGATAAGGAATGTTGTAGTTAGTAATGGCTGACGTTTCTGCGACCTGAGCAGAACTCATCGTAAGAGTTGAATAGATTTGACTACACTCGCTAGGACCATCAGACTACACGATCAAAATTCTTATTTTGTTAATCAGCATATTGTTGATTTAATTATTTTTCACTTCTTTGTCTAAGGAGTCTGATTACAACGATTATTCTTATGGTGTCGAGTATGCCCGCAGTGGTCGAGCACTGTGCAGAACTTGCGATAGTCTCATTCCAAACAGGTAATTTGTTGTTCCAAATAATACGTACTATAAACACCCTTCCCCCTCCCCCCCCCCTCACCTCCTTTCCGCCTCGTCCACTACGCACGTTGATCTTTAGATCCATTTTCAATGTAGCTCTTTAGATTTTCAGTGCAAAGAATTATAGACGACGCTTCAGTACTGCTTAATCCTTTAACCTCAATCAGAGACCAACATCTTATTTCTCCTAAATTATTACCCCTGAAACAAACATAACGGTCACGGGAATAATGATCACCAACTAAGGCAGCTCTTGATTGTTAAACAAATTCTCCTTGTCAGCACCGTATGAAATGTATAGAGAACAGTATAGAGAATATGCATACTGATCTTAGCATGTAAAGGATTAAACTGTATGTCCTTTAATCACAGGTCTCTAAGATGGGTTGTGGC